AAAAAAAAAAACTAAAGAAGTAAGGACGTTCTTACTAGTACTTTTAGTTTTACTTTTTTCGTTTTTTTTTTTTTTTTTTCGATTATGAGATGGTAATATAATTAATCTTTTAATACTTTGGTTCTTGTGTACGTTAGGTTCTATTTAAATCTTGTCTCTATTATATTATATAATTCTGCTGTAAGAATGACTATAACTAGGGGAGGTTTATTCTCCATGTTTGATTTAATGAAGGGAACATGATAGTGGTTAAGTGTAGATAGGGTCATTAGTCCATTTTTCTCATAATATAGAAAGGTCTCTATTTTATCATATGTATTCTTGTGGTGCTGGATTTGCTTCAGAATTAAAACCGTTGAATTCAATTCAAAATAATTAAATCTGGAGTACTTTTGGATGCGAGTTGTTCAATTTTAAGTTATAAAACTATGCCATAGATGTAATGTGTTTTGTGTGCCTGACTTGACTTCTAATTATGTAGTTGGTTTAATAAATGACCATGTGATCATTCGTCTCGTTTCATTATATTGTTTCGTCTTGATTTTGTGTTTAGAGACATTCACTTGCATGAAATTTTAGAGTTGTCAGCACTTATCGTTGATGTCCCAACGAAGGTTCGTAAGTGAGCTCCATTTTGATTGATTTTTTTGGTGGAGAATTATTAATGTTTAGACAACTGAACATGTGAATTGTTTGTTTGTCCATTGTTTGTGCGTGACAGGAATGAAATCAGTGTTTAGTGGATCATGGTTTGTTAAGCCACTTATTGCAAAGTAATTTACCATTAATGAAATTTGTAGCTACATTTATATAATTTTATTTCTCACATCACTAATAGATGATTAGCCCTGGTTCTTTGCAAATTAATGTGGGACTAAAGTTGACCATAGTTGCTGCACAATACTGTGGTTGAAATAGTCTCAAGAGACCAATCAGGATTGTCGCCTTTGTTAGGGAGAGTTTTGCCCTCTAATGTGAGACTTTCCGGCGCGAATCCGAATTTAGTCGGGCCCCAATATAAGTACCGGACACCCGGTGAAAAACCAAAAAGAAAAAAAGAAGTCTCAAGAGAAAACAGTTTTGTTGTTGGCTTTTTATGATATATGTCAAATGTGTGAAAATGATATTGGTGGAACCCAAAATGGACCATATTGGCTCCTCCAAAGCCAATAAAAGCTTTCACAACAATTGGATTTATATCCAGCAATTAAAGTCAAATATCAACAACAACAAATATAAAAAAACACCACTTAAAAGTACCTCCGTTGACTTGTTGGGTTAACATTTGCCACTTAAAGTTGCTATAAATTGAGATACTTAATTGCGAGTAATTTTCCACGATTCAGTGTATAAAGAAGGAAAAGACGGGACTCTTGTCCTTTTAATTGGTCGTAATTGTGAATTGTAAGAATTTAAATTTATAGACTAACCATTGTAATTTTGATTGGTTTTGAAAGGTTCTTCACCATCCTTTTCTAGTTATCAGTCTATTTTCGAAACTTACCTGACCGTTGGAAGAACTAGCTGTTATTTGTGTAACTTTTTGCACTGTTATCAGACGGGGGCGGATGTACATGGTTGTAGCGATATCATCCGATACCGCTTCGCTGGATAAAAATTAAAATATTTATGTTAATATTCTGTAAAAATAAAACAATATATAATAATGACATAGTTTTTTAGCAAAGAGTACTTCTTGGTCCACTTCAAGCACTCAAGCTCATATTTGGGGTTGTAAAGGTTGTAGGTTCACTCCTGGATGCCATTTTGAGCGAGCATAAATGATATTTCCTCCGTTTCAATTTATTAAACCCATTTGACTAGGCATAAAATTTAAGAAAAAAGAGAAGACACATATATTTTGTGTGATTATAAATCATTGCATAAAGGTAAATTGTTTCCAAATAGGGAAAAATGTCTTTTTTTTTGGCACGAACTAAAAAGAAAATATGTTGACATACATTGAAACGAAAAGAATATTATATAATATTTATTTTATTTATTATTATTTATGTAAATACAACACCGCTTACAAATAGTTTTGCCAATAGATAACTCAACGGCTAATTTTGGAATATAATAGTAGAGAAATTCAGTGATATGAAACTTCATGATTATGATTTTGCTTATTTCGGCCGAGCTGGGTGTGGTTTTTATCTTTTCTTTTTTTAAATAAGTCAAATTTTCTTTGGCGGCAGAGAAAATAAACTTGTAGAAGTTTTATTTTGTGTCTCATACAACTGACAGTAGTTATATGAGGTTCTTTTTTATCTCACAAAATTGTGGACCCCAATCTTACACTGCTGGGTTCACAAAATTCTGGGTCTACAAAACTGTGAGACAAAAAGTTGCCTCATACAACTAGCGGAATTTGCACGAGACACAAAATAAAATTTTCCATAAACTTGAGTAGAAAAAGAAAAAGCGAGTGGCAAAGAATAGTAATAATTGGAGAAAACAGGGGCTTTTATTCAGGAATTGGGTGCCTAGTCAAGTCAAAATATGCATTATATTCTGGCACGCCAAAACAGAAACGGAAAATTTCAGCTACGCCCATTCACATCTCGTTCAAAAAATCCATAAATACAAATACAGAGAGATTGGGATTGGTACTTTGGTGACTCATTCATATTCTTCCTATATCAGAAACAAGTAGTGGTAACCCACTAACTCCAGTTTACTCTTCTATTTCCTAATTTTTCTCCTCGAGAATATCAAAGCTCTATTTTTTTTTCCGACAATTTTGAAGGAAAATGGCAATTCAATTGGAAAATTTGGTGCAATCGATAAAATCGAAGGTGAGGAAATTGAAGAAATCGAAAAAGCCATATATCAAAATGGACAAAAGCTCCAGTGTGAGGGTGGAGATTCGCAGCAAAAAAGCTCGCAAGCTCATCGACAAGACTCTCCAAGCTGCTGATCATCCCGGCAAGAGTAGCCTCTCTTAGTACTTGTTGAGAAATAATTAAGAGTCATTTGAAAAATAAGTTTCTTAGTTTTATTAAGCTGTATATATATAAAATAGATGTAATGAGAGAAGTTGTAGAAACGTGGCCGTCCGTTTCTGTGTTCCTCTGACGTCGATTTCCACTTTCCGATGGTGCATATCGGCGTTCGCATTGAGGAACCGTTTCGGTCTTTCTTTTAATTTTATGTTGAATCCCTATTTAATGAGAAAAATGGATTAAATGTTGGGTCATTTTTCTTTTAGCGATTTCTTAACGTTAATCTAAGTAATTGGCGTGCTTTTATACTCTCTATTAAATTTATATTAGTAGGAGTGTAACTCAGNCCCCTGTGTTGAGTCCCCTAAGTCAAATGCACGTGATGCAAACAAACGTTCCTACTAGAAATCCGGCATGAGGCGTTGTCATACTAGGTTTAAAACCTAGGTTTATTGTTCTAGACCTGGATTACCCGAGCAGACAACTCGAGCCAGGGGGGGAGGGGGGGCAGCGTACCGGGGATACAGAAGCTCCGCCGGCTTAGCAGCTTGTCCGAACCTCGTTCTAAATGGGATAAGACTCTAAACAGAAGAGAAGTCACATGAAGTGCACCCTTCTCCATGATGTAGAAGACTTAGAAAGAGGAAGGATTTCGTAGCAGTTTATATATACAATTCACCAAATATCAAAGCGGTAAAGCATTTAGCACATTTAGCATGAAACATGTAGGAAAATCAGATAATAAATAAAGCCAATCATAACAGCTACTCTAAGCTCGAATTCTTGAACCCTGAACCGAAATTCTGGGTTCGTATCCCCAGCAGAGTCGCCAGAGCTGTCACACCTCCTTTTTTACACACCTACCACCAAAGGATAGTGTATAAGGGAGTTTTTCCATTTTAAGTGACATTATTCGAAATGAAATTTTATTTATCAGAGTCGCCACTTGGGAAAGGTTTGGCTTTTGGTGTCCCAAGTCACCGATTTATCTTGAATCCCAAATCGAGGAAATTTTCGACTTTTCAAATGAAGTCTGCGAACCAGAAATTCTGACTAAGGAATTCTGTTAACCCGGGGGAAGGTGTTAGGCACCCCCGGATTCCGTGGTTCTAGCACGGTCGCTTAAACTATCATAATTGGCCTAATATCTGATTTTAAAACATGTTCATCCTATAGTGAGATTTTAAAATTATTTACCGCTTTTAATTGATTTTTAAGCAAGATTGAACGTCGTTTAAAACGTGCTTTTGGATCACGTCACATAAATGCACCCGGATCCGAAACACATTTTTATCAACGTTTTAGGATTTGGATTTGGGTGACATGAAATGCATACCGAATTTAAGAAGGTAATATTATTAAAAGACGAGCCTAAAGCAACTAGCGTGTTGATATCTTTGCGGGAGGCCATGGAAATTCGCTAAATGGCACGTCCCGAGTTCTAAATATTTAAAATAAATAATTAAAGAGGGCCACGCAGTTTGTGAATTTTATTTGGCGCGGCGCACCTCAAATTATTTTAACTTGAAGGTCTCTAAACTAATTCATGGGGGCCATAACTATGAATTGTCTAATTATGGCTCACCTCAAATTCCTTTTCAAGGCTCTAATTAATTAAATACTAGGGTATTTTAACTCTTTTTGAGTGAGTGATTCAAACGAAATCCCTTCCAATGACAAGGCTTCATCAAAAAAACATTTCATTAGCGGGAGGGCCTGAATTAAACAGGCCCAAATTTCTGAGCCACGAGCCTGTCCAAATGTAATGGGGCTCCTTTTGACTTAAAAGATTCTGATAATACTCAGGCCCAAAAGGGCCCAAATATTTTAGCAAAAGTCGGCTGCAAGCAGGAGCTCTAGGACCGAATCCCTGAATCCAAACCTAACAATGATTTGCTCATAATCTTTCCAGCCATTAACGAGATATCTCTGATTTTAAAGCATAGGTGGTACCCTTATTTCAACATTAAACCAAAACTCTTCACATGTAGATGTTATGCTACTTTTTTCAAACTATAGTAAAGAAAAATATTAATAACTTTCATAATCAACACTTGACACCCAAAACCAAACTATCAACAATTAACCTCTAGAAAGCAATAATCGGTATTGAAATAACGACCCAAGCTACATGTTATACTTGACACGTTCATTTGACATTCACATGTTCAAATTGAAATCTACAGAAACATTTAACTATATAATCATGCTTCACTTTTAACTTGGATTCTATACTAACATGCTCCCTTCAACGATATGAATAAATAAACTAGTTGTCCATCCTTATCAACATATACAAGTTCATACAATGCCAAGCATTTAAAAGACCTCTCCTACACATCTAACATCCCACAGTGAACAACCAAACTGATTAACATTACAGTAATCTATACTCAGAATAACAGAAGAAGGAAACATAATGAAATTAGACTAAGCTAGGTAATTTTGAAAGTGCAGAAAACATAGACTAAACAATTGTATTGGCAAAAGTCTCCATTCAAGTGAACCATTCTTCATATTTATCCATTTTTCATACATTGGAAGATTGAAATGAGTACCTGAAATTGAGAGAGTAATTAAATAAAGAGAGATCAGCATTGGATTTCAGCAGAGATTGAAAGCAGCAACAAAACAGCCCAAGTCCGGTGATGAAACCACAGAAGATTCCAAATCCAATGGAACAGTAAATTCCAGTGCGAAAACCCAAAGAAAATGCAAATTAACCAGCTAAAACCACTTCGAACTCCTAGCTAACTCAATGAACAACTCAGATCCAAACTCACTAATTAATCCTCAAACCATTTCAAAGCTCGGACAAAGAAGGGAACAAAAACTGATTTCAGAAAAGAAAATTTCAAAATGTAGAGCTGAGTTTCCATGGAAACAGTAGTAGCCTTTTTTCTGTATTTTTTCCTCTTCCCCCCTTGCCTTGAAAGGCAAGTTTAATCTGCCTTTATAGGCAAGCAAAGTAGGGCAGATTTTTTTAGAAATTATTTCACCCCTTAGGTCACTTTTAAATTCTGTTTTTAACTTAGAGACCCTCCAATTATTGACTTGTTTTCCAAGTTAGTTATCCAAAACCAGAAAAATAAAATCAACCCCCACACTAGAAGCTTCTTAAAGCAGTTACTAAGAGATTCCCTAAGCTGAATTCCCTAAACTACCCCTGAAACCCTCACTATTTACTTTCAGCAAATCATACGGGTCAAGGTTGACCCAAAGCAGTTTCTAGCATTTGGCTAGCCAAATTGGATCAAGTCCCTTTTGCTGGGCTTCTGACCTCACAGCCCAAATCGAAAAATTTGAAAATTAAAGCTGGAGCAGCCTAATAGAAAATCGGGGTCTCTTAAAAGTGAAAATAAACAAAAGGAATGAAAATGGGCCTAAGCAACAACACAACCATGCAAATGAACAACTAGAAACTGAATTCAATTGAACTGAAATTGATTCCAACATGCAGCAACACAAAAATCAAGGAAAAGAGAAAACAAGAAGCAGATGCGAAGAAGATAATAGAGAAAGGAATGATACTGGTTTCAGCTGGAGCAAATCGACGAAGGAGACGAACTTGGCCAAGCGAACGGGAAGCCTACTGGAATCCACTGTGCTTCGACATGGACCAAAGATGATACCAAACGATTGTTCTTGCCAAGAACAAACGCCTGGCATAAACTTCGGCACATCGAACTTTCAGAAATCATTGAATTTAGCCAAAGCAACGGATTTAGGTTTCTCTTGTTCTTTCCGGAGTTTCAG